TAAAACCAATACATTCATCGCTCCGCTCAGAATCTAATACAAATTTTTTGTCACAATTTACAAAATATTCCAAAATATGCTAAATGGGTCAAATATTCTCTAACCCATGAAATATTCTCAAATATGCAAAAAAAAATTTTTTCTTCGCATTCAGAATTGTACGAATCGTCCACATTTTTTACTCTCATAAGACTGAATGGACGACCCAGTAACGATATGTAAAAACATATAAATCCGGTCTTTAGTAATAACTAATTTAAAATAAAAAAATCAACATTAAACATTGATATAGCTCACTTTTTATTATTATTTGTTTTTTAAAAATATTACTAAATTGTTATTTAATTCGTATTTATAATAACATTTATAATATTTGAACGACTATAAACTACAAAGAGTGATAAATGTTTTTATAATGTTGATTGAATATTTAAAAAAAAATATTTGTATCATGAAAATGTGTCGATAGATTATTGATATTAGTTTTACACCATAATACCATAAAAGATTAAAAACATACAGTTACATATTTATTAGAATAAAATATTAATTTTATTTTTAATCTAAGAATATTGTTTATAAATGTACTTAAATTTTATTTATGGTACTTAGTTTTATAAATAAGCTCATACTTATCTATATTTTATTTCCATCCAATAAAAAATGAATTGTTGATAAAAAAATACAAAATACAACTAGGTATTCAGATTTTAACAACATTTCACTAACATAATATATATTGATATGTTCGAAAAAAAAATAGTAACGGGCCCTTTGATCGGAGATAAATAAAATCATTGGAAAAAATGTACACCATGATTCATTTAAAAATCAAAAATATGTCATATGATAATAATTTTGACACGGAATTCATCAATTGTGTATTTAAAATAAATTTAGTTAGTAATAACTGTTTTAAAGTACCAATTGAATGTTGAAGAACGAAAAATTTGCGTACAATAATACACCACGTTTGATAAGAAGTAATTATATTATTATCTTTAGAGGAAACGAAGTTTTGAACCTGAATCGTTTTGTGAGTTGTGTAATCCAGTGAAGGAGTAGCCGTATAATTTTGCAACATCGGAGCACCGACCTTGCGTTAAAGTGGCCTGTAGCAAAAGCTGTATATCATTTATTAACGGTACTTACCTATTAGTATAGTATTATGTTAATCGACATTAGATATTTATATTGGTTTCTTACCAAATTCGCTCAAACAATAAAATAAAGGCCAACCAAAACAAGAAATGATAACGAGCAGGAAATACGGCAAAGGTGAGAGGAGGAATTGTTGTTATTATCTGCAATTCTGATAACAGAGCGTCCAGGGTTCAATTATATAAACATTAGCTTGATTCAGTCGGTAGAGTAGGCAAATCAGTTACTTATCGACTATCAAACGATCAATATTCGGCCACTTCAACGTCTCGCTCAGGTTAGTTCACACAATTAATATACTTTATATAATTTAATGCATCGATAGTTTAAAAATTTTAGTATTTTATAACGCATTAAAAAAAAAGAAAAGTTGAAAATAATAATATCATTCAACTGTTTTTATTTCGATCGTTGAAGCATAGCAGGTAATTTTTAAGTAATTGACATAGATTATATTTTACGCAATTTAATGAACACATTTGACTTTGAGTCTCGAATGAAAACACCGTTGGGACCATCATCAACATGACACAATTTTTTTTAAGTGTCATTCGCTCCGACTGATGTCGTTAAATTTAATATCGTAGGTACTTGAGGCTTAATACAGTATGCGGACTCTTAATCGAGTTGGTCATTACCTACATACACGTATTTCTCCAATTTGCAACTTATTGAGTATTGCATAATTTCTATTTCATTTTCCTTAAATTGATAATATAATTTACAATAATATTTTAAATTCAGTTGAAAATGGTATTGACACAAATCATTATGTTCAAATAAAATATTAACTTTAGAAAATTGGTTAATTTGTAGCATCATATTATTAAAATCTCGGTAAAATCGTAACAAATCCTATGTATACCTATTGTCCATTAATCAATAGCACCTCAAATATACGTGGTAAATACTTATTTTTGTCAGTCAAAATTGAAGTGTTCAGATCTGTGATAAATTAAATTAAGTACCATAATATTATGTAATTTTGTTTTGAATCAACAACACACAGCAGCTTAAGTAGTTTGCATAATATAAGCATTTAGTGTATATAGAGGTAATTTATTCTATTTATCTTTATACGTATAATATATTATCGATTTAGATGGTTTCGTTGATTTTAAATGAAACATAGAAACTTTTAATTGAAAATTGAAAAATCATTACAAGCTCATCAATACGTACCTAAATGAATCTGGGAGACGATAGACAGCATTTGTTGTAATACAACGCACTAAATTTTCACTGTTGATGAAATCATGAATTCTAATTGAAGCTCATTAACCATATTATATTTTACATAAAAATTGATGTTAATTATAATAGTTTACAAAATTAGTTATCGCTGGGTTAACATAATATGATTTGTATTACAAATATAGGTAGGTGTATTAATACAATATACTCAAACGCAACTGTAATAATATAATTACGAGTGTACAATGTACATCGTACTTTAATTTATCACACACGAACTTCAACATAATATATTGACGTAGTCGTAATTTTATTGTCTAATTATTAAATATTTTTATAAGTATTGATTTTGAATTTAAACAATAACATAATCTTTACAAAATACTACTTGCACGTGTAATAGTAATTACGTTTTTAATATTAAAAAAAAATATATATTATATTTTAAATTAATAAATATACTTATAGGTAATTATATAATCGTTATAAAAATAAATCATTAAGTATATAGGCACTTATTAGTTATTTATATATATGAACTTATTTGTTTAGGAACTGAAGTTAGTATTTTTAAAATATATTGTATACAATAAACGAATAAGTACTATGTCTGTATCAACGAAAGAATAAAAATATATCTTACATAATTTGGTGAAATATATATTTATTTTTTTTTTTATTGTATTATACATATTCATCGTTATTTAAAATTTTACAAATAAAACAAAAATACATAATTTATCTACCTTCTTTAAGCTGACGCTTGTGTTGTAGGCAGAGAGTTGAAATATAGATAAGTTTGATTTAACATTTCATAATTTTATACTTTTTAAGAAAAAAAAATGATAACAGACTTTCTTGAATACATATAGAATAAAAACAAAATGAATTAAATTAGGAAAAAATACAAAGCCCAAAATATAGCCCTAAATACTTGACAGGAATTTTGATACTTGGAGTTTTATTGTTTCACTCTTTTTAAAAGTTTCAACGTAATATCAATTAGGTACTTATTTCGTTGGTTTGTTATACTGTAGGATTTCTACAAAAAAAAAAAACAAAAACAAACTAAATACATTATTTACGATTAGCTGGAATTCGTCGGAATACTATTCAGGAAATAATTACATTTGAATTTATTCTGACACGTATAAATATAATTACGTGTCGAAGCGAACAATTCGTTAGTCTGTCAAGTAGATCTGTGGGGAACTGTGTCGTTATAATCTATGAAGACCGATTTGGAATTCTGGAAATAACATTATGTTATTCATTTGTGCATTTGTCCAACGAGTTGACAAAGATGGTACCTTCTAGGAAACTTAAGTACATTTTGTTGCCCTTTAAAAAAAAATTAAAAAATCAAATCATCCTGCGTTAGTAAGGATTTATCAGTTGTAGTTATTTTCAAGTGTATAAATACATATTATTTTAGTACTTCGATATTATAGTCTTGATTTGTTGCTAACAAATCGATATTGTTTTATAATTTACCTTATAATTAGGTACGATATTTGATTTGATAACTGATAAAGCTTAGGTACAATATTATATTCATTTTATTATATTATACTTTTATAAATAAAATGTAGAATACTAGAATTGTTATTATTAAAATATGTTTTTATAAGTGACATAATATTTGATATACATTTAGTCTTACATTTTTCAATAAACGGCGTAAATAATACCTATACTATATAAACATTTAAATTTTCGAAAGTATTAAAGTACGGAAGTGTATAAAGAAAAAAAGGTTAGGTTAGGTAAGGTTTAAGAAAAAATAATATACCTAAAATAGTATAATTGTTTTTAATGATAATAAATAAAAACTTTTTATCATCATATTTTAGAATTATTAGATGAAACTGTTATGACATTGATTTTACGAATGGTTATTTAATTATTTTATAAAAATATCTTTGGAACCTATTGAGTAATATTATGCACATATGCATAGTAAATGTATAACATTATGTCACATAAGACAATATGTTAAACTACGTCTTATGTGACACATAAATTGACTATGCATATTAGACATTAGACATTTTGAAGATAACATTATATATTTTTAATACCTATTTAAGTTTTGAAAAATAACAAATTGTACAATGTAGACACTAGGTAGGTATATTAATTATAAGTTGTAACAGTTGTATATTTGACATCTGACCGTAAAAAAAATGTTCAGTAAATCTTACATACAATTATGTAAATTTTATAAGAATTAATTGTTACCTTTTATATTGTTTAAACAAAGAATAACTACAGATTATTATTTTTATACAACAACAAAACAGTCCTGAATGATTTATATTGTCATTTTTCCGATTTAAAAAGATATTTTTTTAGTTCATAATAATTTTACATTGTATGAAAAATCTTTTATGAATAATTATAAATAGACGGACATTTAGTTCAAATAATGCCTAAATAAAAGTTACCATGACAATTAGTAATTACAACATTTTTAATGAGTTAAAATGGTGAGAGGGTCACTGGTTTCAATAACGGTAAAAGAACTTTGGTACATTTTACGTTAATTTATCTCACCAGTCAGAATATGTACTTACGATTTAATTACATATTATATTTTAATGCTCAATGAAAGGATAAATACATATTTTTTCGTATAGAACATCATGATTTTGGGACGTCAACATCGTAGGCTGGCAGTCATGTCTAATTGTATTCGGATTTGTAGATGCTTGAAAACATACCCATCTACCATTCGACAATGCGGCGCTGGAAGATCCTACAGTCAACTATCTGTAAATATAGTTTGATAACAATAAAATATGTGTCGAAAGTCACTGAATTATCTAACTTATTGGAGTTTGGATGTTTCAGAGTATGCAATTGGACCTGAAACGAGCACTGCAATCGGCTGATTCGCAATCGGTAAACGGATCGTCGTTTGCTGATAGATCACAACTGAAGTATGCAAGACGACTGGTGATAAAATTGGGCAGTGCCGTCATCACGAGAGAAGACGAACACGGAATTGCCCTAGGTCGATTGGCATCAATTGTTGAACAAGTATGTATTGCATACTTACCATAATGCGTACCTGTTGATAGGTGGTGAATGTAGTTAAACATATTTTATTAGTAATTTATATAATACTAATTACTAGGTGATCTATTATTTTTTTTAACGCTAAAAATCTATATAGATTTTATAAATTAGACAGCAAGTGTAGTAAAAAAAAAAAAAATATTGATTTTTGATAACAAAGAATATTTTAAATTTACATAATATATTAAGTACTTATGATTGGGTTAAATTCAATGTCAATAGAGTTGTGTGTCTTGTGCAGTATTTAAAATATAAATGACATAAAGATAACTGTTAAAACAAATATTATAAGTTCTATGAGTTATATGATATTAATAATATTATGTACATTTATTACCAGTTGTAAATTGCAATGCTATAACAGCACGAAAAGCTATTTCAGTTAATACTTTTGAGAACTATGGTACAACTACAACTGTACAACAAATATGCTGATTTATTTAATTACTTTTTTCTTATTAAACATATTTTAAAATCAATGATATTTAAAATTTAACTTTATATTTATTAAACGATTTCCTAAAAAAATTAGTAAATATCTGTTATTGCAATTTTGAAATTTTAAAAAATGAGAAATGATTATGATGGGGGATTTTTAATATTATGTATTAAGTTTTTGGATAAAATACATCTATCAAAACATAGAACAATATTATTATACATAAAAAAAAAAATCCAAAACAGAATTTATATTATATTCAACCAATCGCAGTTTTAGCAAGTTTAACTTTTTCGTAAACGAATTTTTATGTAATAATATTATCATATAAAATTATAATATAAATTATTATAATATACAATAATATTATCATATAAAACTAGAATATATATTTATAGGTTGCCGAGTGTCACCAGGAGGGTCGTGAATGTATTATGGTCACCAGTGGAGCAGTGGCATTTGGAAAACAAAAGTTGACCCACGAATTATTAATGTCATTGAGTATGCGAGAGACACTGTCGCCCAATGACCATGCTAGAAAAGATGTTAGGACATTGCTCAAGGCTAGGGCTGCAGCGGCTGTGGGTCAATCCGGGCTCATGTCTTTGTACGATGCCATGTTTTCACAGTACGGTGTTAAGATCGCTCAGGTCCTAGTCACCAAGCCCGATTTCTATAACGACGAGACACGCAAAAACCTATTCAGCACGTTATCAGAACTAATCAGTATGAATATCGTGCCTATTATCAATACAAATGACGCAGTGACACCTCCGCCACAGGACGACGACCTCATCAAATCTAAAGGAAAGAAGGTCGGTGACTTATAAATGTTTAAACAACTATTTTAAAGCACCATTAAATTAATGCTAGTGTTCACGGTGTTATCATCACTTTTTTAATGCACATTACACAAGCTATTATTAGACTTGTTACACGATAAAAGCTGATATTTGTGATCAACATTTTTTAAATATGCTTATAAGACTGTTTTTATATAATATAATATATATATATATTATATATATTCATTCTATGTAGGTTATCAGCATCAAGGATAATGACAGTTTGGCCGCTATGTTAGCTGCTGAAGTCAGTGCAGACTTACTAATTTTGATGTCGGACGTGGACGGTATCTTCACTCGACCACCAAAACAGGAAGGGGCGAAAATGATTTGGACATACAACAGCGATATGGCGGACGTAATACAGTTCGGCAAAAAGTCAACTGTCGGTACAGGGGGCATGGATTCCAAGGTGAACTAACTACTTAAAAACGATAGAGGCCAAGTGCAATAATTGATTGTTCAACGTTGATTATTATTGATTTAATTGGTTCCGTTTGCTTATAGTCGAGGGATAAGTGGATATTTCGGGATATCTGAGTTGGGTCCCTAACAATAGGTTTAAATCACAAGTAGTATATTTGGGTCTTGGATTATCTTGGGGAAGTAATACAAACAAAAAAATATTAAAAACAGTAAAAATGTAATATTAAAAATACCCAAGTGACGGGTATTTAATATTAGGTATATAATATAAAATACGATTCATAAAAATCACTTTTGCGTAGTTCAATATTAATTTATTTGTTCCCTCAATTATTGATATATTATAATCTAAACATTTCACTTCGTGTAACTGCAGAAAAAAATAGTTTATATATTTTTCAACAACACAACAGTGATTTATTTAAATATTAGTTTATATCATGCTAACTATGTATTTTTAATATTATTTTGTATTACGTATTAATTTATGTTATAGTTTGTAAAATCTAATAATTTATATATTTTTGGGGAAAAAAACATTATTAACCATATTTGTGGTCAAAAATTGATTATATACAGTTCTAAGTGGCTAAATCTGTTAAAATGGGAAGAAAAACGTTAGTTTAGTCCCGAAGACGGGAACCAACATGTATAGGTATTTTAATTTCGGGACTCAACTCTATGCAGCCCTTTATTTTGTATAATATTTATTATGCATGCATTACATGATTTGTTTACACGATTTCAAGGGGAAACCTTTTGTCGGTTTACCAAGTCCAAACAGTTAATTTGTAAATTATGAGTGACACGAATTTTATCGTTTTAGGTACAAGCGGCCACGTGGGCTTTAAACAGAGGAGTTTCTGTAGTTATCTGTAATGGCATGCAAGAAAAAGCTATTAAGTCGATTGTGCTCGGCAGAAAAATCGGAACATTTTTCACCAATGCCCCAACTGCTAATGCCACTCCAGTTGAAACACTAGCTGAAAATGGTACGTTGGAATTTTTTCTCTGAAACATCAAAATTACATAAAAATGAATATCAATACTATTAATTGAATACATATAGCCTGCATATACAGTGCTCAGGCGAGTAGTGATTGACGGTTAAGTAACAGTGCTCAAGACTTAATTACACGTTGTATTATTTATTATCTTACCGTACCTGTATCATTTTTTTATGATTAATAGCTATCAGAAGAATTACATGGTCTAATAAAATTATTGAATAACACTCTGTGTTAATATTAGGTTTTATCTATAATTACCAATCGAATCATTCAGTAAATAATTGTGTACCTAAGCGTTTTATTAAATAAACAATAAATAAATTGAGTATATATCTAGGAGATTTATCACTTATCGCCTATCAATTTTTAATTTCCGTCGATAGACGTAAAACAAATATATTAATTTAAATCATCCTGATTTCTCAGTGGCAGATAGTGAAATAACTAAATATTAAATTAATATTTCGCTTACTGTATGCAAAATTAGCTTTATATTCAAATCTAAAATTTGCATTAATTAGGCACTGTCTAGGTAGTCGATGGCTATTATACATTAATAAGTAGCAACAAAAATCTAATTATTAACTTAAATTGCTAACATTTTAATTTAGAATATTGCTTTATTATAAAATGGTATAAATCAAAGGTTATGGTATTAAAATTGTATTTTATACAAAGTATTTGGTATCCATAACCAACGGAAATTCAATAAAAATGATCAGAGTGGACGAGTGAATCGAGTAGGGAGTGATAAGTCAATCATGATATTTATTTCAAACGTCATTACCAATGTGTTTGTCAAAGATAATTATTCATTTCGTTTTATGAATATCACACTATACGAGTGAACTTATTCACGATTCAATTATATCTCAATTAAAATAAATGTATATTATTTAATCATTCTACAGCACGTTACGGGAGTCGTATCTTGCAAAAGTTACCAGCTGTAGACCGTGCAAGTGCAATATATGCATTAGCTGAGTTGTTAATAAGCAAACAGGCCACTATTTTGGACGCAAATGAAAAAGATATAGCAATAGCTACCAAGGAAGGCACAGCTGCTCCTTTGATCAGCCGATTATCTCTGACACCAGCTAAACTTAAGAGCCTGGCCATAGGTAAGATTAATTTCACTCTAAACTATAATAATATAATATAAATTGTTTGAATTAATAAATCTTGTTGCAGGTCTTAAACAAATTGCCGAGACTAGTCACACAAATGTTGGCAAGGTGTTAAAGAGGACCAAGATTTCAGAGAATTTAGATTTAACTCAAGTCACAGTTCCCATTGGTGTTCTTCTTGTCATTTTTGAATCTCGGCCTGATTGTTTGCCTCAGGTAAATATATTTTAAATCTTAGAATTACAATATTAACTAATGAGAAAGAGAGAGAAAAATATAATTTATTCATACAACTTTTGCACGTTATAATATGCTTAGTCTTGAAAAATAAATAAAGTAGGTTTATAATTATAGAGAAAGTGTAAAAAGTACAGACGTACAGGGAAAAATAAAGATTCATTTCCTGGATATTCCAGTTGTTATGAAATATTTTTTTGTAGGTAACAACTGTTGATGATTTGTAAAAAACAGTCTTACAACGCCCCACAACAATTTTAATGAGCACAAGTTCAGCGAAGTAATGAAATATTATTTGATTTTTATTGTATAAGTTTCTGAACTTTTTCAAAGAAGATTATTTTTATAATCAAATTCAAATCAGCTTTGAGAAACATATTTATTTATTTTTTTAATATTTTAACATTTTCTATTTATATCTATATAACCACTATCCAGTATAAACTATGAATTGAACAATTAGTCAAGCTATTTGCTGTATAATATTTATGTAATTCAATTTCAACATGGCTGTTTAATGATATTATTTGATAGATATAGCACTAGGTATGAAGAGAAAAGTTATATTTTAAAATAGATGCTATGCATTTTTTTCTATTATTATAAGGCCCTAATATTTATATAAACCATTTAAAATAAACTTTACATACAAAAAAAATTGTCTAGTTATCAGTACATGGCCAGTTTGACATCGCTGTAAATTACTAACACAATAATAAGATTATTCGTGTATTATATTTCGTAAACAATGTCTTTTTCACAAAACAAAAATAAAATATGACAGATTTACATGATAGAGGATATTAATTAATAAAACAAAGTCCCAATGAAAAAGGTTATACATCGACACATAATATATATTTATTATTTATATTAGTTTGTGTTTTGAATTTTCAATTAAAAATTGTTCGTATATTGTATTTAATGAATTTATTAGTAATGTATAAAGGGTAGTTGTTTTTTTTCGAATAATATAATATTATATTGAAATCAATAACATATTTTTTTTCCACAATATTTATTTTAAACCTACACACCGCATATAATATAATATTATAGTTAGTATTTCAAATGTTTGATATTGATTTTTACGAAACTAGTAACAAGTTTAAACTAAATCAACGAAACCCCCCGAATCGTATCTTATCAAACATTTTATCGTGCTTTACACATACAGCCGTATAAAATATGTTATTGAAAGGAAAATAATAAGCATCTTCTCTTGCACACATTGGATATAATATTATGACGGTGTAAGGGTGTTTTGCGTTTAATGGGCAATGAGTAAATTTTAGTGCACCGAACAATAATAATTTATTACATAATGTTGCCACCCCATTGCCACCCGCTGTGTTCAACACTCGAATAATGTAAAATGTTATTATGAATGACTTTTGTGGGCCCACAGGTAGCTGCTTTGGCGCTGAGCTCGGCAAATGGACTTTTATTGAAAGGAGGCAAAGAGGCGTCGCACAGCAACAAAGCACTCATGGATGTAGTCAAAGAGGCATTGGCCACGGTCGGTGCCCAGGACGCCATATCGTTGGTAAATTATTCACAGTCGTATTTCTCGACATGTCACTATACGAAAAATATAACTAATAGTGTTCTCCGAAATGGACGTTTGCGAATTCACCAGTAAAACTTATTAATATTGTCGAATTCATTGGCAAAGGGTGTGGGGAACTTGTTTAAGCGCTTTAGTGGGCTGTTTAAAATTGTGTTAAAGTGTCCGAAATATTTAAAATTTACCTATCATAACCATCATTTAATATTCATCTCCGTCTTTTTTTTTTACTACCAAGTACTACATTTTAGAGCACATTTTCATTCGGAATATAAAATAATCTATATAGTTTTCTAAAGAGTCGTACAAATCCAACTATTCACCTAAAGTATTTGGTAAACACTTGTTAGTTGTTAATAAGCTTCAACAAATCAGCCGGAACACGAAAGTTTACGAAAGTTCGTCTAGTTTGCTTATTTTGTATTTTAAGAATTGAAATTCCACGTACTTGAGTAATGATTTGGAAACTCACAAAACCAAAGTTTTGACATTGACATTTTTCAATTCTAAATATATCAAGTAGATTGGAGAAGATTTGTTTTTTTTTCGGTAAAAAATTGTTACATAACCTTTTTTATTTAAAAAGTGCTTAGTACTGATGGTGTAAATCATTTAGAAAACTTTAAAATATTTATAAAATGTAGACAATGATAACGTTGCAACAAAAAGTTATGCATACTATAACAACGGAGTTAGTATATTCAAATTATAAAGGTGGACGAAAATGATTCAAAACTAACGTATGATATGTTATACGATTTTCTAAGTTAGTCATGATTATTTTATGCATAAATTATTTATTGTAATAATTATTAGTTAGCGAATTTCACATAATGACATATTAAATATTTTAAAATATTTATTTTTTTATAACTTTTGTGACGCAAATGAACTACCGCAATAGTAACCAACTTAACTCATATAATTCAGTCAATCATTTATGAAACAGGTGTCGACTCGGGAAGAGATCAGCGATTTATTAGCCATGGAGAACCACATCGATCTTATTATTCCCCGTGGATCTAGTGATTTAGTCCGTAGTATTCAGGATCAATGTGCGCACATCCCCGTATTAGGACATGCCGAAGGAATATGCCACGTATACGTAGACAAGGATGCCAACTTGGATAAAGCTCTGACTATAGGTAAGTAATTTTTTTGTAAAATATTTTGTGTAAACATTTATACCTAGAATTTCAATTTACGCAATATTATAGTTCGTGACTCCAAGTGCGATTACCCAGCCGCATGCAACGCAATGGAAACACTCCTAATCCACGAAGATTTGTTCGGAGGACCGTTTTTCAATGAAGTCTGTGATATGTTAAAGAAAGAAAACGTAAGCTCAAAATAATTATTTAATCCGTTCAGCTTAATTTAACATGGATTAGATAATATAGACTTATAATAACACTTTATACATTTTGTATGGATTATGTTACACTATTTATTTATTATACATTTAAACGGGATTAAACACAATAACAATGTTTATAGTTATTATATTATATAATAACACGATTACAAAATATAATAACATTTATCTTAGAAAGTAGAAACTAAAGCAAGATAATCGAAAACAATTTAGAATACTTCATGATAATAAATTATAACTTAATGTTCCAATGTATATAGTTTTCATTAAGTGTTTGAAAAACTTAAACACTTTTAAAACGAGTTTTTATAATATATTTTAACCGCAGATTGTTAGGTACATAACGTGTATTAATAACATGAATAGTTAATTGTATTTCTGCACATATCAATATATATTGTTCAAGTGAAAATTGAATGCCCATTACTATAATTCCTTTTGGCAAACTCCTTTACTTCGGTTCATTTTAGCATATTGATTCACATTTGCCAATTTTCATCTACTTCTTGTAATTTATCGCTTTTAGCCACTTATTAATATTTATAACGTTTAGATTTTATAGAGGGTGATTCACCAAGCATGCTCACCCCCCTTTCCTCTTCAATAATGCTGTTATTTAAAATCAGATTTTTGGAATTTTTAAATATACTTAAAGGTCATATCTGTACTTTAAGACTCCAGTCAGTTTTATTAAAAGTCAAAACTAATGTAGATTTGACTAATCTAAATATAAATTTCGTTTATTTGAAAAAATTGGTTTTTAGACCATAGAGCCAGACAAAACTTAAAGAATTTGGTTTGACTAATTTAAATTTTTATAACTGATTTTCATTGAAGTTTACTAGGTTTCCATCGAGGCGATTTTGAATATCTATTTCTTCAGCTGTATAATATCCATGAATAAAAATATGATATTTTTGTATTTATATTAACACATTAATACGCATTATGACACTAGCAATAATTGGAATATTAAAAATTGCCTCGGTGGAAACATTTAGTACACTTGTACTTGTGAATCAATCATAATCCGTTTTAAAAAACATATGTTGAACTGTTTAATAAATTTTTTTTTTTTTTTTTTTTTTTTTTTATTTAATATAAGGCTTCAAATACAAAGTTTATTAGCCTACAATTTGGTTTTTTACATTAATAATTTATAAATACAGTTTAAAAGTTAATGGTTATGGTGTGGCGTCGTTGATCCATTGCTTTATATATTCGTGGTGAGGTCGGCCATCTTGATAAAGTTTGTAATGTTTTTTTCTTGTCCTGGTCCGAGTGCGTCTTTTAGTGAGGTGGTGTTGATGTTCGCTTTTGTTCTGGCGTTTTGGTAAATGGGACATTCTAAGAATATGTGATGAACGGTGAGTTCACTGTAGCATGTTTCGCACGTGGGTTTGGGCTCCTTACGCATAAGGTAGGAGTGTGTGATTCTAGTATGTCCAATGCGTACTCTGGTAACCATGGTCTCTTCATGTCGTGTAAGCTTAACAGGTGGGTCCGGCCATTTTATAGTTGATGGTTTTATCTGTCTAAATTTATTGTTTTGGTTGGTTTGATTTTCCCATTGATTTTGCCAGAGACTATAAAATTTCGATTTGAGGGCTCGGATTGCATCGTCGTATGTTACATACGGGTATATTTTGGTGTCCGGGGAGTTAGCCGCTTTCATCGCCAGTTCGTCGGCGAGTTCATTGCCGGGGATGCCGATGTGGGATGGAACCCACATGATTTGATGGATTTGACGGTTGAGTGGATAACGTTTTGAATGCTTTGGGCGAGGTTGCATTTTGTATGTACGTTTGCTATTGAGGTGACTGCACTCATAGAATCACTTATGATGAGAACTTTATCGTGGTTTGAGGAGAGTGCGGTTAATGTAGCTTCGAGTATGGCGAAAGTTTCAGCTGTGTATATGCTGGAGAAGGGGTCTAATTTATGGAGACTATTTTCATCCCTGTGGGTAATGGCGAAACCGGTTTCGTATGTTGTTTTGGAGGCGTCAGTATAGACGTGGTAATAATTTTTGAATTCGGTGTTTATTATTTCGTAGAACGTATTGATGATCAGACTATGAGGTGTGTTATATTTGTTGAATTTGATGAGTTCTGTATTGGCTTCAATGTGGTTCGTGTTCCATGGAGGGATTGTTGAGAAAGTTTCTTTAGGTTTTATGTTGCTGATGTTGAAGGATATCTCTTCAAGGATGTCGTGGAGCTTTATATAAAGAGGTTTCAGGAGGTGTTCGTGATGGGGGTTTGAGATTGTCCTTATTATGCCAGTTTGGGGAGTAGACATCTTTTTGGCTGCGAACTTTGTAATTAGGTACTTTTGTCTGATATACAATGGTAGGCAGTGGGCTTCGCACATCATACTGTCGACCGGACTTGATTTGAAAGCTCCGATGGACATCCTGATGCCGGCGTTTTGTACGATATTGAGTGTTTTTAGGGTATTTTGGTTGGTGAGGCTGTAAATGATTGATCCGTAGTCCAATGTCGATTGTATCAAAGAGTTGTATAGAATTAAGAGTGTTTTGCGATCAGCGCCCCATTTAAAGTGGCACACGGATTTGATTATACTTAGTTTTTTGGATGACGTTGCTTTCAGTTTTTTTATGTGTTCTTTCCAGTTGAGTTTGTGATCGAAAGTTAATCCTAGAAGGCGGAGACTTCTTGTGTTAGGGAGAGTGTTTCCTTGCATTTTTATATCGGGAATTTGGATTTTCTTCTGTCGATTGAATAAAATGGATTGGCATTTTGAGGGTGAAAAAATGAATCCTGTCTCTGTGGACCATCGGCTGATATTGTCGATTGATTTTTGTATGAGAGAGCTGGTAGTTTTGATGTTTGATCCAGAGAGATACAGGCTACAGTCATCGGCATATAATATAGTTTTCACAGGAGGTTTTATGTATTTGTTAATATCGTTGATGGCTATTAAAAAAAGGGTTACACTTAATGAGGATCCTTGAGGCAATCCATTTTCTGTTCTGAATGTTGATGATAGGGTATGTCTGAATTTAACCTCGAAGGTTCTGTCTGCTAGGAAGTTATTTATAAAATTGAGTATTTTTCCTTTAAGATTCCATTTATGGAGTACAGAAAGGACCCTATGTACCCATACTGTGTCATAAGCTTTTGCGATGTCTAGAGATACCATTAATAAGTGATTTTTTTTTTCGAACGCCTCGCATATGTTGGTGTGGATGATTGTCAGAGGATCTAAGGTAGATCTGTTTTTGCGGAAGCCGAATTGATGTGGGGAGAGGAGATTTAGGGTTTCTAGGTGCCATGTAAGTCTGGAGTTAATCATGCTTTCAAGTGTTTTACTCATTGTATTTAGAAGGGATATTGGCCTATAGTTGTTGATTTCGAAAGGGCATTTGCCGGGTTTAGGGATTGGGATTATATGTGATGTTCTCCATTGTTTTGGGAAGGTGCAATTAATCCAGATGATGTTGAATATTTTGAGTAGAATGTTTAGTGAGGATTGCGACAGGTTTTGGAGGAATGAGAATGGTATTCCGTCTGGCCCGGTGCTTTTACTAGTTTTTTTACTCAGTGAGGTATATAGTTCAATGATTGTGAGAGGGGAGTTGATTGGGTTATCCGGTTCGTCTGCTTCGAAATTTATCGGGGAGTTAATTTCAACTGTTGTTTTAAGGGTAACGAAGTCTTTAATATAGTTTTCATTGCTGTTGTTTTGTTGGAAGAAGGTTCCAAAGGCGTCAGAGATTTCTTTTTTATCGGTAATGGTTTTGTTGTTGAAATTAATTGTCTTTGTTTGGATCCGGTTATTACCTTTCAAGCTGTTAATCTTGGACCACATGAGACTGGAGGTAGTTTTATAGTTGATGCTGGATGTAAAACTTTTCCATGATTCGGTTTTGCTAATGTTAATTGTTTGTCGTGAGATTGCTCTGCGTTTTTTGAGTTCTATGTGATCTGATTGGAGTTTGGTTTTCTTGAAACGGTTGAGTGCTTTTTTGTAGTTTTTGATCGCTGTTTCACAATTTTCATTCCACCAGGGGACTTTTTTTTTTTGAAAAAATGGTTTGCTTTTATCTATTGTGTATTCGGCGGCTTCAGTGATGATACTTGAGAAAGTTTCGACTATATTGTCTATGTCTATTGATTGATTTGGTTGGAGAAGGGTTTCAAATTGTTTGGTTGTTAACAGGTTGTCGACTTTGTTCGCGAAGGAGATCCAGTCGGGGTTTCGTAGGAGCCATTTGGGGGTTGATTTTTCTGTTGGTTGTGATTTAAGAAATCTTAATGATATAGGCCAGTGATCATTACTATTGTAAGCCGTTTGGACAGACCAATCTATTGATCCTCCTAACGATGCAGATGCGATTGATAAGTCGATAGCAGAGAATCTGTTATGGGCTACATTGTGTCTTGTGTAATTTCCATCGTTGAGGAGGACTATTGAGTCGTCTTCTAAAAGTTTTTCGATTGTTTTTCCTCGCCTATCTGTGTAGTTGGATCCCCATAAAGTGTTTCTGCTATTGAAATCGCCGAGTAAAATGTAGGGACGTGGTAGTTGTTTAATGAGGTTTTCGAGGTCTGAGAGATTGAGGTCAGTGCTATCCGGGGCGTATATGTTGCATAAGCTGATTTTTTGATTGCTAATTGAGGTTATTTTTATAGCGATTGCTTCTAATGGGGTATTAAGGGGGATAATTTCATGTTCTGATGATATTGAGGCGAAGATGCATACCCCACCACTAGATCGAGCATGGTTGGTGCGGTTCTTGAAGTATCCTTTGTAGTTTTTGAGGGTGGGATTATTTTTATTGTAATTTAGGTTTGTTTCTTGTAGGCAGAGGGCTGATGGTTGGAAGTCTGCAATTATTCTGTGGACGTCTGGAAGTTTCTTAAAATAACTATTTATGTTCCATTGAACTATTGTTTCTAGTTGTGCTTGGATGTTGTAGGGGGAGGAATGATTGAAGTATATAATATTGTTATATGATGTCATTTTTTTTTTTTTTTTTTTTTTTTTTCTATGTAGCGGTTGTAGGGTTGTGTGATTGTATGACGTGATTTTATTCGTATGATCATGCTTCTGATTCATTAGAATCATAGGGTTCGGCATTTAAAATTTTTGTGAAGCGGGTAATTCTGTATTTGATACTGTTGTCTCGCAGGCATGGTTTGATTTTCGAAATGATATCTAATAATTCTTCTTTTGAAATATTATATTCATTATAAATTGATGGAGGATCGAAGGGGCCTTGATTATTTTCTAAAATATGTTTAAAGGTGTCATAGTCGATTTTAAAACTATTTAGGTCGTTGAACAAATGTTGTGTAGGTTCTAGATAAGTGTCTATATTTTCTAAAAATTTTTTTAAGGAAGCGGATTTAGTTTTCTTATTCTTTTTTTTTTTTTCTAGTGTTTTGATTTGGGGGGTTTCCCAGTTTGAAGGAGCACGCATTTCGTTTGTTTCTTGAGCTAGATCCATTGGAGACGAAGGAGCAGATTGAGTGTAAAACGAATCTGGCAGCGACCTTTTGGTGCCACATGGTTGATCTAGATCCATTTCTGTTATGTCTGTGTTTGGAGTTGATTCTAGATCTTGGAGCTCAATTAGGGTTGGGGTAGAAGTAGTAGCTGGTGGATTGTATTGAGGAGGGGGTTCAGAAAGAATCTTTAGAGGCTCTAGTAGGGGAGTTGTGGGTGCTGATGAGGGGTGTGCTTCTGTAGGTGTATTGTCTTTATTTAGAGACACATCTAGTTTTGAAGTTATGTTTAGGTCGAGTATGGCATTATTTTCATTTGAAGTTTTGCTGCTTGAAATATTTTGATTTGGGCATTGGGATGCTATATGTCCTTGGGACTGGCAAATGAAGCAGTTTAGGGAGTCGTCGGATAAAAAAATTCTATAGTTAGTGTCTTCGTAATTGATAAGAATTGATGTAGGAATTTTAGACAGATCTTCGTGTTTAATAAACGTTTGGCGACGAAAGCTTAAAATGTGTGTAAAATCTTCGACTTGGATTCCAGCCTTTAAAAAAGTTATCGGGCTGCAGAGAGATATATTTAGTTTGGCGAATTCGTTTGCGATAACGTCCGGAGGTATGTTGGGGTATACGTTGGACAGGATGACTCTTTTGTTTGGGTTGTATAGTTTACGTAATTTGAAATGTTGTTCTTGTATTAGGATAGATGGGTGATTTTCAATTAGATTATCAACTAATGTCTTGCTCGATAGGAATATACATATACGTTCTTTAGATATGCGTGACGCAAATAGAATATTAGAAGGTTGAACTAGTTTGCCGATAGCGATTACGTAATCTTTATGTGGTAAGCTCACGTTTATATCAATTACTATAGCTTGGTCTTTTTTCGGTATTAAGCTATTAGCGACAGTAGAAGCAAAAGATTGTTTACTATTGTCCGTGTTGGATGGGGTTTCTGGGTAATTAACGATGGGTATCTTTGTTGAGGTAGATTGTTGTTGAAGCTTGAGGTCTGATGTTGTTTTGGTTGAAATAGGTTTAGCGATGATTTTGGATGTAATGGTTGATGTGGTTTTATTTTTTAATTTTTGAACGATGTTAGTTTGTACAGTTTTGCGGATTGAAGGGCTTTTCAAAGCCGCTGGTTTAGAAGTTTGCATTTTGGTGGTTGGGCTTTGCGCCCGGTGAGTTTATTGTATATTAGCTAATAGCGTAATTAACGTGCATATTACCTGAGATACGGCGAGTGTAGATTGTATAACGTACTGCTATCGGAAGCTATTAAAACGGTACTCGTGAGACGCGATAAGGTACGTGTTGACTGTACGGAGTCTAACGACGAACTGTGTTTAATAAATTATATATTACTTAATATATCTGCAAATACTATTTATTATTGACAATGTAGAAAATACAATTCGTCATATTCAAAATTATATTTTTTACATTGGATCTCATTTATTCAAATATTATAAGATATTATGTAATAAATATTAAAACTACTAGTTTTTAGTTAATTTATAATAACGCTACTAGTGTATGGTTTCTATAAGATTTAATTTAGATGTTTAATATATATTTTTTTGTCGTATAGGTGCAACTATTTTCCGGTCCAAAATTATCATCACGTTTAACTTTTGGGCCACCCCGAGCTAAATCTCTAAAACACGAATACGGTGAGCTTGCTTGTACAATTGAACTGGTCTCTGGAATGGACTCTGCTATTAATCATATACATACATATGGAAGTGGTCATACAGAAGTGATCGTTACTGAAAACAGTAGGTTTTAGAATATTTATATTAATAAACTATTCGTATTAATGACATCAAATGGTTTTTTTTTGACAAACAGGCGAAGCCGCTTCGAAATTCCAAAGAGATGTGGATAGTGCTTGTGTATTCCATAATGCTAGCTCAAGGTTTGCAGATGGATTTAGATTTGGTTTGGGTAAGTGTTATGTTTTGGATTTTATTATTTTTTTGAAAACTCTTAAGTATGGTCTTAGGTAAATGTATTTTTTAATTTTAATTTAAAGTATGAATGCAGCTGTACAAGTTTAACCAAAATTAGAAAATAATACATAACATAATATACCTACATATTGTTGTAGATTTGCGTAAATACTGTTGAGGTTTAACAAATATGTAGTTAAAAACTGTTTGATTGCACAAAAAGAAAATTTAATAATAAAGCCTGAGGGCACTTATTAACAATGACTATTACAGTGACTAACAAATGTTTAAAATATGTCATTAAGCAACGTGGGATTTGTTTGATTTGGTGAAAACAACTGTTATGTTGATGCACCTTGTGGCATATAGGTATACAATATATTATAGTATATTAGATTAAAAAAGGGTTTTGGTAGTTAAAGTAACATTCCACTATAGACTATTTGTCTAACAGTAACTTTGTTAAAAAGGATCTCTTTTTATTTCCTGAGATGAGTGGATGAGAAGACTTGGTAAGAAAAACTCACGTTTGAAAACATATTTAAGTACGTAGGTTCAAAATATAAGAGTGTAGGATGTGTGAGGGTGACTGAAGCGGTATCAGTCCCTTAAATAGACCACAGAACTTACGACCTATCCCCAAATTGTTTGTTAAGTTTGTCGGTGCCAGAGAGCGTATTACAAGGACCAATTAACTGCTTGGTTTCATTAACTATATCGTTGAGGCTAATCAAATTTATTGGGTTCAAACACGTGGTTATAGTTTTACCGACTTACCGTACTATGTTAGATTTATTATTGATCATTACATTTTTTATACTTAGGAAGACTGCGTCACACCCGCATGTGTCGCCTCAGTCTTACACTATACAACTTTTAAGTAACAACATTATCTGTGTTCTCTCGTTGGTTTTTTACGATATTTTAATTCTTAAGTGAGTTACGACTTTACGAGTATGTAAAACATTAATATTTAGAAATGCTCATAACTCACTTAAAAATCAAAATATCGTAAAGAATTGAAGATACAGATAATGTTGTTACCTAAAAGTTTGATAATAGGTCAATTCACTCTAATATCAAAACTGACAGCACACTATTGAACTAAAATATGCTAGTGCGACGTCTACATAATTTGTTTATGTTACTGAATTATGTATCCATCGACTTTAAAACTTTCGGTTCCAATTTTTAGTGCAATCTAAAATTCCACTCATATTTTACTGAATATTTTAATATTTTACTTGTATGTTTTACAATTTATAATTAGTATGGTATTTTAGATTTTACTAATTTATACTAAAACCTTTAGTAAAAAGAATCTATTTAATGATATTTTCTGTTAATGGGTAAGGTTCTGCTGGTGATAACTACAGTGATCTCCTAGAGTTGTTGACATTTTAATCTATTTGGTAACTAAGACCGTTTTGAAACTTGCGGGTCATGAGAATTCATTAATATGACATAGACATGAAAAGAAGTAGGTAAGCGCGTAATGTTAATAAAAAAACGCTATGACTAGAAATGTTAAGCCATGATTATAGACAACACGAAAAAGAGGGCAAAGACGAAACCACTCTGCTGTGCAGTAGGTGTCGATGTACTTTGTCAATAGTAAGGTCACTATAACGGATACATTAAACTTTGAATTCAATATAAATCTTTAAAATGTTTAAAGAAAATGATTTTGAGTAGAGAGAATCTGTCGTCATAATATGTGACTTAGTATATTATTTCGTCATATTATATGTATGTTGTTATTATAAACATTTATTTTACTTATTACTAATATGGTATAAACTATAAACAGGCAATAGCTTAAAATCAATTTAAATATTTTGAAAATATGCAATTTCGTATAGTAAATGTATAATATGTATACATAAAAATGTTGAGCTCTCACGAATATTTCTAAGACAAAATAACTAAAACTTATGACATATGAGGAACCTTGCATTACATATGTTAGTCTTTGGTATACAAATTGAATATTTTATAAATTGTTGACTATTAACTGTCCATCAAAAGATCACCCTGATTCTCCACATTCTCACGTGACATCCTGTTATTGAGACCGGTTCCACTTTGACTTAGGACCCAATATTCTACCAACCCGTGTCTTACAGACAAGAAACATAAATACATAATTCTAAAACCAATACGTTTATCACTCCGCTTAGAATCTAAAATATTAGGCACAAATTATATTAAATATAGGATAAAGAGTTTTCAGGTAACCTACCGTTTTGTTGACCGATATAGTGAAAAATATAAATTGTACTTAATAAATTAGGTAAAATTGAAAATAATAAAAAAATTAAATTATAAGGATATTGTAGGTACATTTTATTGTATGCAGTATAAAATTACAAATTTTTAAGTCAATATTTTATTTAGTTATTAAGTACAAGCAACGTAGACGAGAATAATTTATCAGTACTTTGTATATTTCAGCTTAAACGTTAAATATGATATTTTCATAATTACTTTTTCCGTGAAAAAAAAAAATAATCTTTATTTATTAAAAATATAATTAATTTTTTTATGTATGCAGTATAATAGCGTAGATTAATTAAGTGATTCTTTCGTACTACTTAATTCAATTTAAAAGTGTTGGGAATTTTATAATGAAAAAACCAACATAATATAATACATAAATCATTTGATAAAATAAATGTTTTCAAATTGCAGTCATCCTGGGAATCGGAATTTCCTATTTATCGTGTTTAGGATGGTTTAAAAATACAATATTCTGCACGTGGGATATACCTTGGGGCCAGTAAAAGTCCCCAGAGAAAATTAAATTTAGTATTGCATTTATCAAAATTGTTATCTATATATTTTTACTTTTCGTGAAATTATTAATTTTTTCATATATTTTTGTCCTTTTCAATATTTGGATACTTTTGTTGATTTGCCAACCTCGCGGGGTTAAGAATTAATAACAATCCCACAAAACCTATGTAAAGCGTACATACTAGGATAAAGTTTTCGAATACAAATTTATTATTATGCACAATAATAATAATAATATATACATCGCATGTGTATTGTATAGCTGTATATTTGAATATTATACGATGCGTATAGCTTAGGGATATTTTGTACACATATAAACGATAAATAGGGAGTTACGCAAATCCATCGTATGGTATCCAATGTGATATTAATAATAATAATAATAATAACAATATATATGTTCATTGGGTAATGTGTTATAGATTGTGTGAGAGGGTCGTTTATGGACGTTGCTCGACTGTGGAAATTAAAAAAAAAAATAAAAATCGTATAGACATCACGGACACAACTTAATTTAATAAAAATTGTTTTAACATTTTTATACTGGGGCGTGTTTAAATAATATTATGCGTTAGATATAAAACTGTTAAAAAAAAAACCCGTTATTTATTGATTTCAAAGTAAAACAAGTCTAGAGAAAAAAAATCTTAATAAAAAGTAAAACTATTATTCTAAAATAATTTATATTACAATATTTTCAGAGTTATTTTCACCTATAAAAAATCTTTTCGAGTGGGAAAATACCCAGGAGTTACAAACGTACTTATAATACTACAAATTTAAAAGAATAAAATTATTCTCCAAGAGATAGATGAATGCTTTATTTACAGTGAAATATCAAATCTTATTATTATAAAGTTTCAAATATTATAAATTTATAAAATATGTTTTATTTGAAAAAAAAAAGCTTTTATTGAAATTGCATTAAATAAAATATTACATTACAACACAAGTATTTGTGTTGACACAAATACAGCTCTGGTTAACAAACAAGGTTTCCATATCTATATCATGTTAACATTTGGAGTCCGACTGACTATATTATTATTTCTGTAGTCTCAGAGATTCTTTTCCGAAACAATTTTCCTATATTATTTTGAAACTAATTATGATACGATCCTTTATCACAATTCACAAATCACATTGACATTTTATAGAATTACAAGACTTTTCTTATTATTTTATTCAGTCGGTAAAATGTAATATTAAATTACTAATCCACTAAATCCCGCGAATAGTGATTGTATAGTTTACATATTATAATATAATATTAGTAATACAACGTATACAAACGTAGTTACTGTTGATCCAACAATATTATATTATTTTAGAAATAATACATTAATCTGATTAGGGTTGAACAATTGTAGGAGTTGCATATTTTTTTATAATATGATCTCGATTCATATCGCTAAGCCAAATACATTATATTAAATTACCAGTTTAAAAAAAAATTAAAAAAAAAAAAAATTTCGTAAAAAAAAATAATTAAAATTCATAATTCTTAATTTTTACCTTTATAATATTATTTTATAATTCATGTATAATTAATATTTTCTAAAAAAAATTACGTTCTTCTTATAATATTATCAGCTAAGTATTTTATACTCAATTATTTAATGTAGGTTATTATTAAAAACTATCAAAAAGCCAATTTGTTCATTGCCTAACGTGGTTTTGTTATAGCCTGACGTTAAACGCCACGACCTCAGCGATGTATTATTTTATCTGTGAAACGAGATATCTTTCACATATTATCAATGTCAGTTTATTTTCAATAAAAAATAATGTCTTATATATTTTTATAATATTTTGTAACTGATAGCAGGTAGATCAAGTTATAATTTATTTTGTACATTTGATCAATTTTAACATCGATAACTTAAGGGGATTTAAATTTATTAGAGGTACCTATTGTATCGTAATTGAAAGCTCATATACGTGCATTATCATGTCAATAATGCGCTTCACGAACATTAATTATTTTGTTTAACGTATCAATTTTTTGTTTTTTGTATTTACTAACCTATAGTTATCCAATAAAATGTCTGAAAACATATTATTTTAATTCATCGTGACTATTGAAGTTTACTTGAAATCGACTCTTTTAGAAATTAATCTTTGTAATTAATTATTTTACTTCAATTTTATTAAAATTTGAAAATTTTTAATATTTATTAATTTAAAAATATATTTTGAATGGATTAAAAAATGGTTTATTTTCAAAAAAATGCGAAACTCGGTTTCCAGTGAACTGTGTGAAAAACTCATACGTATTATGTTTTCCAGAAGGTCCATTCGAATTTTGAATAATAGGGTAGTCGGTATACAATTGTTACAGGCACGAGATAGGTATTATAATATATTATAATTACGGTAGAAACTGTAGAAACACACTTCTGGGATCAAAATCTCCATAATAATATTGTATATAGTTATGGTTGAGTGAATTTGATTTCGCACATCATATAGCTGGCAGGATTATCATATGTACGGGAATTTCCATGTATACGTACAAATTTATTCATTTTTTTTTATTAATTTATGATTTCAGGCGCCGAGGTGGGCATCAGCACCGCCAGGATACACGCACGAGGTCCCGTGGGCGTCGAAGGACTTCTGACAACCAAATGGATACTGAAGGGCGACGGTCACGCGGCTGCCGAGTTCGCAGAAGGCGGCGGCAGGACATACGTTCACGAACACTTGCCCGTCGACAACTAGCAACCACCTGCGATCTCGACTCGCAAACTGGCGGCGTGCGGGCTCTTTTACGCGATTGCCGCACAGGTGGCCAAAATGTTTTTCATCGTCCGGAAACACCGAAAACCAGACGAATAATAACAACATCATCATTATTGCACTGGAAAGGTTTCCCCCCTCACCCCCTCCCCATCAATAAATGAGAACTATTTTATAGGTTCTAAATTTCCAACACGCAACATAATACGATATTATTGTCATGTACGTTAGTTTATATCATTATTATTATTATTATTACGTTTGTTAGAATTTAGATTTTTAAATGTCTGTATATGTAGATAAATATTATAATATTGTAGAGCCAACATTCTAAACAATTGCATGTATATGATCTTTTCACAACGCAATTTCTACATTATTTTTATCATTAAATTATTGTTATTTTTAAGTAAAAACTGAATATCGTTTTCCTTCTCCGAACCGTAATCTTATGAATCATTTCAAAACAGTAAGCGGAGTGTGCACGTTTCCGTGTCCCTCTGGTTTCTCTCATTTCATTAGTGACCTTGAATGTTTGTTCACTGTATCGTTGTATAAAATCATTTATAACGGATACGAGTTATTAACTTTCAAGGAAATTGATAATTTAATATTATACCATCGTATGATTAGTTAGAACATGTGCGTATAAGTGGCGAGGAGTTGTCACTATAGAACCCTAACAACTATAGGCACCGACTGATGCTTGACTTCAGAATACGTTTTGTGACTGAAGCCACTATCATATTTAAATATATTATATTATATTATTATGTAACGAATTCTCATAACTTTATAAGGGCTTGCAGTTTTCGTGTGAAGATTTGAACAATTTTTGAAAAGGCACACAGAAAATGAAATTTTGATTATTTTTAAAATAAATTGAAACAAAGTGCCTCAGCTTTTAAAATGAATGCGCTTTTGAGCAAAAGGTTGGTTTTTTATGTATGATAGATGATAAATTTACCCGTGTAAATTTTAATATCGTATAGATCGAGTAGTTTGTTTTTGTACAGCGAAGGTAAGCGTTTATTTAATGCATACCTATATATACTTTAAAACTTTAAAGTTTTCAAAATTAATTAATATAGTCCGACAACTAAAAAGTTTTATTCCTTTTATTAATGGCAATATCACACACAACAATTATAATAATTAAAATATTCAGAGAATCAATAAAATATGAAAAATAGTAATAACGATGAAAATAGCTAAAATAAAATTCGAAAAATATTAGACATATTATATAAGAAATATTTACAATCATGCGAATATCAGTGTCGCAACCAGGATATTTTTGGGTAACCCCTCCTTCCCTGGTCCAATCCATAAACTTATTTCCATTACGGTTTTTTAAAATTTATTAATATCATACATTAATTTATCATAATTTATGAATGATTTAATTACATAATATTAGTTATTATTTATTACCTATGTTGGTAAACTAACAATTTTTAAATTAAAATATTTTATTAACACAATATAGTGGTTTAATCACCACCCCTTGCGTTGACTTGGAGACCACCCCATTTCGTGTGCCGCTGACAATATTGTGACTAACATAATATTATTATATATTTATATTTATATAAATCCAATGTACATTAATTATAATTGGCTTTTACCAGTAAGTGGGTAAGGTGTCAGAAAAAATAGGCGATTAATCGATTTTCGGAAAATCCACTTTTTTTAAATTTAAGTTCAATTATCAATACTCTACTATCGTCTTTTTACTTTATGTTTTGCTTGAAATAAATACAAATTTCAAGAACAAAATATATTTCTAGGTAGTTTTTAGGTTTGACAGTCATTAAGTCATTCATTACGAATAAAGATATTATGTATTACAGTTTGAAGTTTAAAATTGCTCTCCTGAACAATTTGATATTTTGAGATAAAATCTTTTGGTTCTGTGCCCATGAAATGTTTCTTAGAGTTTCCACCTTAAGGCTTAGAGACACTTTAAATAACTTTAGATTATATCAGCCCTGAGGGTAAATCACTTGAAGAATGCCCAGAAATTAAAAACTGTTCACGAATCCACTCACAATATTATAATAATATATAAGTACTGAAATAAACATAATATATATATATATATTTTTTTTTAGATGTTAATTTTTTTCTTAACTGCAGTAGATATAAATAATAGTAAAAAATAGTAAGCTTAAAAGTAAAAAAGAAATATTCAAGTCTATTATGTATACGATGTAAAATAATATTTTCCTTTGAACTTCCTCAATTAAACAGATGAAATATTTGTTCCGTTCCAAATTTCGTTTGCTATTTAATGTAACAGGTGAGAATTTTTTTATTGAGGTGGTTATATAACATGTTTCATTTAAGTCGAAATTATTTTGTAGGACGAACTAAAAATTGCATTTTAAATACAATGGATACCTTTTATATATTTAAAATAACAAAATGCAACTATTGGTTTGTCTAGTTGGTTGAATTTATTATTATAAATGCAATATAGTTAATTGAAAAATAAGATCATTAAATTAACACCATTATAATTTTACCTATGATCATAATTATTATAATAGATTACGATTTGAAAAATATAAATAATATCTTTTGTACTATATTATTTTATGAGTTTATATATATTATAGTATAAGTTTATAAGTTATAGCAGCTACTTTTGTATATTTGATAACGAAGTGGCAGATTATTTTACACAAATATTGATAGTTTAGAAGTTTACTGCTCTACGGCATACTATTAATGGTTCATAAGTCTTTAAAATACTGCAATTGACAATTTTATCAATTTTTGTGTTTTCCTTTTGCTATTATACTGTAAAAATAAATAATTGTACTAAGGTAAACGATAATATAATATTATATCTTTAAAAATACTAACAAGACAACGGTTGGCTATATAAAAGCCCATTTATTGTTTTAGTTTCACTGACTTCAATAAGTATTTGAAGTTTATGTATAGATCGAAACCGAATATCACGTTTGTCTCATTAGTTTTGTCCGAACTTTGTTTTACACATAAAAGTGGCATTTCCGCATAAATTTAAACGATGTTTAAGTCTATTAATCTGTTTCCTTGTACACACCAATACACCATTCGAGTTCATGCTAGTGAAATTGTGGGATTTTTGAAAAATTGACGATCCATTATAAGAAGTTTTCACGACGTCCATGTCCACATACCATAAATCCTCAGTTGGATATTTTGTTCTCATCGAGTCCAAACAAAATGTATATTATAAGTTACAACGTTTTACAGTGTTGATAAATCATGTTTATTACAAGCCCTGCAAAACTACTAACGTCTATAATAACGACTAGGTACTAAAACTTGCTGCACAAAAATAGCCGTCAGAAATATCTGTGCGTAGCTGCGTACGATTAAACAACATATAATATAAGTTTTCGTGACGCATAAATAAAAGGCACTACTTGTAAATCGCTACCGAGTAATATAATTCAATATTTCAATTCTGACAGTAATCGATATACCCATTTATTATGCATACACACCTAATAATACGAGAACTGCAACTGCAGTGTATAGTATTATCATTCGAGAACAAAAAAATCCATTAATGTCGGTTTGTACGTGGCACATTATTATATATAATCATATGTATAATACAATTTTTTTTATATATTATTAGATAGCTAGTCTGAATTAGTATGCGCGCTACGTAATTTTTTCTCTAGTCTCCGTGTATAATATACCCCCCAACTGCCCAAATTCAATATTGGCAGCGCGATAAGACTGAAAACAATTAATTATTGATATTATCATTCCTAACCGGGTTAACGGAATTAGAAACAGATATAATAAACTTGAGGGAAAACGTGGAGTTTTTTTTTCGTCGTAAAATCTATAAAGATACCCCCCCCCCAATTATCTGCAGACTGGAAAGTTTTTTTGTTATTTATAGTGCCTAAAAATAATTTTCGTTTGAAACAAAACCATAGAATCATATACACCAACGAAAAACGTCTTACACGTGGGTTCGACCTGTTGTCATCATGAAAATTATTATACCTATATCAGCTGCTGCAGAGGAGTAATCAGCTTTTTTGAAAAGGGGGAGGGGGATATGAATTTTTGACTATTCTTAGACAATGTTATTTAGCAGTATAAATATACTTTTTTGCTTTATCATGATCATCCATGAAAAATAGAAGCTAATGGGGGGGGGGGGGCTATGACACTTCTCTCCATCCACCACTGGTCGGCTCTGAGGTTTTTTTTTTAGTCATTAATCATCATAATATATTATAATATTGTATTTTCAGCTGACCTATTATACCCACTCCGACTTATTCGATTACGCGAGCACACGAGGAGTAAAAATGCATTTATTCGAATCGACTAAAGTCTATAATATATAAGAATATTAGACGACGGGCGTGACGTGCATAAACTTAATTTAACATTCTCGTAATGCGTAAGTAGAATTATTTAGTTTGTGAAATGCGTGCATCATTAGTGTTGTCTACTCACCTGTTGCACATAGTTTTCGACTCAACCCTCGGCATGAGTCCTTCGTAAAAGCATGATAGGGTATGTATATTACTATTATTACTAAGCCGATGCACTGAAATTCCTCAATAACTAACTATACCTCGGGTTGGCGGATAGTCATTTGATATACTCACTATTGAATATAGTGGGTTTCACGTAAACCTTCTTCGATAGTAGCAAAATAAAATCGTAAACACGCTAAACGTAGGTATATAGGGACTTACAATAACAATATACCTAATATGCGTAATGCGTAGGTACCTGGTATATGTTAAGCGGTGTAATTTACCACATATTATATTATATATATAATAAACCTGTATGCTCAACATGGCGCACGTGGCTCTAAACCGTTGAGTATCGTCCAGAGCCCTACTTATAAAAGGAGTGGCTAGGAGGCTGCACCCCCAGGTCCCGAAGTTTTTAGCCCCCTCCCCTGATATATCTCTGCAAGACAGTCATATACGATTTATTTATATCGATAAACATTAAATAATAAAATTACTTAAAGACTTATGATATAATTTATATTTATTTACAACCTTAAAATATAAAATGAATATAAAAAACAAAATAGCAAGAAAAAACTGAATTAATATTTAAGTCAAGGG